GCGGGACCCCAAAAACCCCCTGGGATGGGCAAGGGGGGCTCTGAAGGGTCCCTCGGTGTCCCCACACGTTGTAACCCCCAATAACCCCGGTCAAGGGGGATTTTGGGGGGGGGTCCCTGGAGGTCCCCACCAGGAAGGGGATGGTCCTGGTTGTTCCTGGGTGAGCTGGAGGCCAAAGATGTCCCCGTGGTCCTGAGTTTTGGGGGGTGGTCCTGAGGGTCCTCAGTGGGGGGAGCTGAGCTGGATCCCAAAGATGTCCCCGTGGTCCTGAGGGTGCCCATGGGGGGCTTTGAAGGGTCCCTTGGTGTCCCCACACACCAAGTGGGGGTTTGGGGGGTGGTCCCTCTCAGGGTGGGCTGGGCTGGATCCCAAAGATGTCCCGGTGGTCCTGAGTTTTTGGGGGGTGGTCCCACTCAGGGTGGGCTGAGCTGGATCCCAAAGATGTCCCCCTGGTCCTGGCGGTGCCGGTGGCGGTGCAGGGGACAGGAGGCCCCCGAGGAGCCCTCGGCGTCGCGCACGTTGTACTCGCCCTTCTTGCAGGCCGTGCTCTTGAGGTACAGCCCCCCTGCCACCAGCAGGGCCACCAGGGCCACCGCCCCCAGCGAGCCCAGGGCCACCAGCGCCACCAGCCATGTCTCTGTGGGGACACAGGGAGGGGACAGTGACACAACTGCCCCCCTGCCACCGCCAGGGCCACCAGGGCCACCAGCCATGTCTCTGTGGGGACACAGTGAATGGCGACATCGATGACACCAGGGCCACCAGGGCCACCAGCCAGCTCTCTGTGGTGACCACAAGGGGCCGGTGCCACCCCTGTGGGGGGGGAGGGGACAGTGCCACCCCCCATTGTCGCTCTTGTCGTCCCCCCACGCACCGTCGACGCTGACCAGGACGCTGCGGGCGCGCCGGCCGTGCCGGTTGCTGGCGGTGCAGGTGTAGAGCCCGCGGTTGGCGGCGGTGGCGGCGGTGACGGTGACCGAGCGGTTGTCGGGGCCCAGGCGCAGGTTGGGGGCGACGGGCACGGCCCAGGCGAAGGCGGGCGAAGGGACCCCCTCGGCGCCGCAGTCCAGGCTGAAGGAGCCGCCCCGGGGGACGGAGGACGAGGGGACGGCACGGAGGGTGACGGAGGAGGGGCCGACTGGAACGCACCGGGAGGAGGGGAAAGGAGGCACAAATCGGGCACAGTCGGACAAAATCAGACAAAATCAGACAGAATCAGGCACAATCAGACAAAATCAGACACAATCACCCTCCCCCCACCTCTTTCTCGCCCCCCAAATGCCCCCCCAGCGACTCACACTCGACGGCCACGGTGACGTTCCGGACGGCCGAGCCGTGGGCGTTGCTGGCCCGGCACTGGTAGGTGCCGGCGTGGGCGCGGCTCACCCGGGGGGGGTCCTGGGGGTCCCCCACCTCGGTCTGGGTGACGTTGGGGGTCACTGGGGGGTCCTGGGGGTCCCCATGTTCGGTCCAGGTCACGTTGGGGGTCACTGGGGTGTCCTGGGTGTCCCCCAGTTTGGTCCAGGTGACGTCAGGGGCCACCAGCAGATGGTCCCAGGTGCCCCCCAGCTCGGTCCGGGTGACATTGGGGGTCACCAGGGGGTGGTCCCACGTGTCCCCCCCGTCCTCAGCTGTCACCAGGGGGTGGTCCCATGCATCCCCCGGCTCGGGGTGGGTGGCGTTGGGTGTCACCAGGGGGTGGTCCTGGCCGTCCCCCAGCTTGGTGCAGGTGACCCGGGGCGGGGGGTTGCCGGTGGCGGCACAGCCGAGCCGGGCCGGGGTCCCCTCGAGCCAGAGGCGCCGCTCGGGACAGCCCCGCTCGGGGATGCTCGGCTGGTCTGGGAGAGGGGGGGAACACAGCACAGAAAAGGGGGGTGGGTGCTGGGTGCCACCCCCCCTCGGCACCTCCTGATCCCTCCCAGTACCTTCTGATCCCACTCAACATCCCCCAATCCCTCCCCACACCCCCCGATCCCTCTCGGCACCTTCTGATCCCTCTCATCACCTCTCGATCCCTCCCACCACCCCCTCGTCCTTCCCATCACCTCCTGATCCCACCCAACATCCCTCGATCCCACCCGGCACCTCCTGATCCTCCCCATCACCTCCTGATCCCACCCAACATCCCCTGATCTCACCCGCGCCCCCTCCCCCGCTCACACTCCACGGTGACCACGACATCCCTGGTGGCCACGCCGTGCCGGTTGGTGGCCCTGCACAGGTAGCGCCCGGCGTCGGCCCTGGAGACCACGCGGGTGCCCCGGGCGCGGGTGGGACGGGCTCGGGGGGCGTCCCCGGGGGTGTCCCCGTGGCGGGCGCAGCGGGTGCTGGGCGGGGGGTCCCCCTCGGCGCGACACTGCAGGTCCCGCCGCTGCCCCTCCACCCACACGCGGCGCGAGGGGCACCCACGATCCGACAGGGTGGGCTCGTCTGGACAGGGGGACACACAGAGGGGACGCCCGGTCAGTGCCACCACGGTACCGCCATCCCCGGTGCCATTCCCGGTGCCGCCACCGTGGTGTCCCCCGTGCCGCCACAGTGCCACCCCCGGTGTCACCAGGGTAACACCCCCAGTCCCACCCCTGGTGTCACCCTCGGTGCCACCCCGATGCCATCCCCAGTGCCACCCCGATCCCACTCCCAGTGACACCCCGATCCCACCCCGATGTCACCCCCAGTGCCACCCCGGGTGCCACTCACACTCCACGCGGACGGCCACGCTCCTGCTGCTGGTCCCCAGGGCGTTGGTGGCCGTGCACTCGTAGGTGCCCGCGCGCTCGCGGGTGACGGGCTCGGGCTCGCCGGTGCCCACGGGGACCCCCGCGCGGGCACAAGCCACGGCGGGCGCGGGGTTGCCGGTGGCGCGACACCAGAGCGACTCCCACGCCCCCCGCACCCACGTGCGGTTGGCGGGGCAGCCGCCGGCCCCAAATTCGGGGGGATCTGTCCCAAAAGATAGAACCGCCCCACGAGGGGAGGCCGGGAACGGCGGGGCGGGGTCACAACCCCCCCCCCCCCCCCCCCCCCCCCCCCCCCCCCCCCCCCCCCCCCCCCACGGAGCGCCACTCACAGTGCACGAGGAGCCGCGTGGCCGCCTCCTTTGTCACCGCGCTGTCCCCCACGGCCAGGCTGGCCCTGCAGCGCAGCTCCCGCCCGTCGTCCTCCCTGCGAGCCACCACGCGCCGCTCCACGCGGGACCGCGGCCCCTCCGCCAGGACCCCCTCGCCGTGGGACCCCAGGAGCTGCAGCAGCGGCGGCCCCGCCGGCTCGGTGTCCCCCGCCTGGCACGTCATTGTCACCTCCGCGCCCTCCTCCGCCGGCTGCGGCAGCAGCTCCAGGGTGGGAGCCGGGAATCCTGCGGGAAAAGGGCCCGTGGGTGGGTCCCGGGGGTGCGGTGGCGGGAGGGACATTTGGGGACACCCCCACGGGAGCCTTACGGTAAACGTGGAGCGTCCTCCTCGCCGTCCTGGTGGCTGAGGCCACCGCGGCCGTGCAGGTGATGTCCTCGAGGCCCGGCTGGCTCGGGGACAGCTCGGTCACCGCCGTCACCGCGTCCCCCGCCACCTCCAGGCTGGCGTTCAGCGTCTCGCGGCCCAGGGCGAGGGTGACACGCGTGTCCCCGGCCGGGAAGGCGCCGGCCACGCGGCAGCGGGCGCGGGAGGTGGCCCCGACCTCCAGCAGGGAGGGGGCCTCGAGCTGGAGCGGCTCCGGGAGGGCTGTGGGGGGGACACGGTGGCACCGGGGCTGGGGACACGGTCCTGGTGGCCAAACCCTCTCCTGTGCCCCAGCGGTGCCACCAGGCAGCCTGTGCCCCAGCAGCCACCAGGAGGGGGACACTGATGTCCACGTGGGTGGTGACAGTGCCACGGTGCCACACCAGCACCTGGAGGGTGGCACCAACGTCCCCGTGGGTGGTGACAGTGCCACACCACCACCAGGAGGGGGACACTGCTGTCCCCGTGGGTGTCCCCATGGGCGGTGACAGTGCCACACCACCACCTGGAGGGTCACACTGCTGTCCCCGTGGGTGTCCTCATGGACGCTGCCTCTCCCCCCCCCCCCTTCCCCGGGACTCACCGAACACGGAGAGGGTGACGGGGGCTGCGGCGCGGGCGAAGAGGGGCCCGTGTGGCCTGAGGGACAGCTCGGCGTGGCAGGTGACGTCCTGCCCGTGGTCTCCGGGCGTGGCGGTCAGCAGGTGGGTGACGGCCACGCTGGCGCTGCCGGGGGCGCTGCCGAAGCTCTGGGTGCGCAGGGTGTCCCCCCCGCGCCGCAGCGTCACCGTCAGGTTCCCCACCGGGGCCACCTCCAGCACGCGGCACGTCACGTTCCGGCTGTCCCCGACCGCCACCGGCGCCACCGGGTCCAGCGCCACCCGCTCCGGCAGCTCTGGGGGACGAGGGGGGGGACACAAACACCGGGAGGGTCACCGGGGGGTGGGTTTCGCGATCCTCCTCCTCCTCCTCCCCCTCCTCCTCCTCCTCCTCCTCCCCAAAAAGCCTCTTTTCTCGCCCGCCCCGGCCCCTCAAAAGGAGGCGATGATGGCCCTAATTAGCGCTCCCCGCGGGGCCCGTGGAAGGCCCGTTCAAAAGGTCAATTAAAAGATGAATTAACGGCCTGAGCGGGGCACTCACGGTAGACCAGGACGTCGGCGCTGGCCTCGGCGCGGGTGTCCCCGCAGGTCCCCGCGCAGGTGGCAGGGCCGGGGCTCCAGCGGGACACGTTGAGGAGGCGAAAGCTTTGCCAGCGCAGCCCCCCCGGCCCGGGGGTCGCGGCCAGGGGGGTGTGGAGCTCCAGGCTGGCGTTGCCCCCCGGGCAGGCGCTGCGGCTGCAGTTGACGGTGGTCGAGCCCCCGAAGGCCACCACGGCCACGCGCGGCCAGGCCGTGACCGTGAAGGTGCCGCGGGCCACCCCTGCGAGGGGAGAGAGAGACGCGACCCCCGAGAACCCCCCCCCCAAAAAAAAAAAAAAACCAAAACAACAGAGGAGACCCCCCAAAGTGCCGGCTGCGTGGGTGGTACCAGCCGGAGAAACCACCCCCACACCCACCCACGCACCCCCCGGCCCCAATTTTGGAGGGGGGAGAGAACCCCCAACCCCAGCTCAGCATCAGGATCCCCCACTGGAGACCCTCCGAGACCCCCCAGCCCCAATTCTGGATGCAGAGACCCCCCCCCACCATGTGCCCCCCTCGGGTCCCCGCTGTCTTTGGGGTCCCTCCCAATTAGGGATCCAATTAAGGGTCTTTGGGGGCTCCCCCCCCCAATTAACCCCCCTGATGTCCCCGTGGGGGTCTCCAGCGCCCCCACCCCCCTTAAAGGTACCTTTGGGATCCCTCAGGGACGTCCCCCCC